GATGTTATTAATTCTCCATTAAAAACATCTCTTTTAGTATTTATTTCAATACTAATAGGTATTTTAAATGATCGTACTTTAATTTTAGATGGTTCTGAAAGTGTTAACTTAAATTTAAATCCATACATTCCAACATTAATTCCATGAATTAAATACTCTCCTTCTTTAGGCATAGTAAATTGTAAAGTAACTTCTTTAGATCTTTTCTCTTCAATACATACATTTTTTATTTCATCTGATCCTTCAACATCAATTTTAATTGTATTTAAATGAATGGGAAAAGATTCATTATTTTGTATAACTAGAACTATTGAGCTTTTTTCTCCAACAACAATTTCTTTTTGTATTTCTTTTAATTGAATATCAATTGGATTATATAATGAAAGTTTTTGTGTATAACGTAATCTACAATCACATGCAAAAATAAAGAATGAAATAGAATTAATTTCTTTAATTTCATTCACCATTTCTTCAACTAAACATTTAGAAGTAATTAAAGATGGAATTATCAAATCTTTTTTACTATAATAAATACATCTTCCAGTACAAATACATCTAATACTTCCTAATCTTTCATCTGCAAGAAAATATTTATTTGCTGCTTCCATAAATGAAAGAGTTGCTTTTCTAGGTGAATTATCAATCATCCTCATTGCTATTTGTTCATTTATAAGAGCAGAAAATAATGGAGATAATTCTTTCATATGTTTAACTCGAATCATATGTTTTTCCCATTCTTTTCCTTTAACCATTGCACCAAAATTCATTCCAATTCTTCTTGCAATTAAATAATCACTTTCAATTAAACTCTCACTATTTTTTGAATTAGAATAAAAATAATCAAATGCATCTTTCATTTCATTTATAAAAGGACTTCCTTTCATATATAATGAATACCCAATCATTTCTTTACATCCTTTAATTTGTCTTATATTATCAAAGTATTCAGGTAATGCTTTTAAATATTCTTCAATTGCATTATCATATTTTCCAATACTAAAATATAAATCACCAATTTGTTGATGAATATTTTCAAATGTTTTAGACTTTTCTTTTTCTATTTCAAATTCATTTTTATCAGTAAATATTTCTCTCATAATTCCTCTAATTCCGCTTCTGCCAATAATTAAATCACCTAACCTTTTAATTTCATTTTGAACAATTTCATATGAATAATCAACTAATTTTTGTCTTGCATCACAAATAGATTTTTTATCATTCAAATTAATACAAATTGTATATTTCCATTGACTTCTAAATTCAATTTTTCGTTGTGTAAAACAGACATAAATCTTTTCACTTTTTTCTCCATTTAAATGTTTTAATTGTTCTACATCTGTAGAAAGTCCTGCTAATGCACTAACAACATCTCCATTACAATCATTATCACTACACGCAATTACAACACAAATAGGTTTTCCAAAATTATTTGTTGGTTCAGAAACGGCTTCAACAGTTGAAGCCCATCTATAAATACAATACCAATCACTAACTATTTTACAATCCTCTGTTAAATATGATGACTTTTGTTTTTTTGATATATCCGGAAATAACGATGTTAATATTACTGGTTTATCTTCTGTTCCAATTAAACAAATAGTCTCTAATGAACTTAATAATTTGTTAATTGGTTCTTTAATTCCTAATTGAACAGTTCTACTTGTTAAAAAAGAAATTCTAGGAGCAAAACCATATCTTATAAGTTTCTTACCAATCCTCAGATCTTCTTCAAAGATACTTTTTTTCATAGAATTTTTAGTTTTTCTTTTTTAGTTTCTTTTTAATTTTTAATAAAACTCAAAAAAGAGGATTAAAAAATAACATTTAAACCTAACTTTTTTTTGAATTTCAATAAAATGATAGGATATAACTTTATACATGATATTCAAGACATTATTAAAAATGATATACCTGTGCATTTTGTTAATTTTGAGTATTATGCACGTACAATGAAAATAACATATCCAATTGAGTTAGGAATTTGTACATATAAAATGAGTGAATTTAAATTGTTAGGAGAATTTCACCAACTAATATACTGTGATATTAATGAGTTTGTTGATAAGAAAAAAATAAAGAACCATCATGGATTAGATACTACAAGTTCATTTTTAAGAAATGATTATAAAAATATTGTAAATGAATTAACAAAATATTTAAAATCTTTTAATGATAAAATTTGTTGTATTGTAAAAAGAAAAGAAACTAGAAACCCAAGTTATGAATGTTTTGTTAAACTTTTTCAATTAGCAAATGAACAATTTAAAAATTTTGAATTTATTAAAGAAAGTGAATTTCTTTATTTATTATGTTCTTTTTATAATAAATCAATAGAAAGTCCGTACTCATTATTGATGTCAGTTTCTACTAGAATTGGGTCTATAGAAAAATGTCAAATTCATAAAGAAATAATGTCAAAAGGATGTGCTCTTGATTCAGTTAAATTAAGTGCAAATTCAATTTTTGTCATTATGAAAAATATGAAAATTCCATTTAAAGAAATAGACCAATTACCTATTTTATTATTTGTTAATAAAAATTATGAAAAAGAACAATTTGTATCATCTCCTCATTACTCAAAATCAAAAGAAGAAATTATCAAAGAAAGAGCAGAAAGAAAAGAACAAAAAAAATTAAAACAAGAATCCAAGATAATAAAAAAGGAAGAACATTATGAACAACAATTTATTAAAGAAAAAAAAGATTTTATAATTAAAGCTAATGAAAAACAAATTGAAAATGAAGAAAATGAATTTAAACAAAATAAATTTAAATTAATTGCCCTTAACCTTTTTAAAGAAATAAACATTTTTGAATTTCCTATTCATTTCTTTGATTTTGAATTTTCTTCTTCAAAGACAGATGGTGTTATTCCACTTGAATTAGGTATTTCAACTTATTATTTAAATGAAAGTAAAGAAATTAATTTTTATCATACATTAATTAAACCAAGTCATTATAATAGTTCATTTGAAAGAGCTGTTGGAGTTCATGGAATTGATTTACATATGAACTATACTCAAAGTTATTCTGAAATAATAAATGGATTAACAAATTATTTAAACTCATTTAAAGGAAAGAAGTTATTAGTTTTAAAAGATGAAACTATTGGAGGAGATGTTTTATGTTTTAATAATTTATTTGGATATATACAACAATCAATTCCAAATGATTATATATTTACAACACATCATTTCTTATTAGAGTATATAGCAACTATGAAAGGATTTGATAATAATAAAGCTAAAGAATATGGAATTCTTATGAATGATGTTTATAAACAATTAAAAATTTCTAATAGATGTCCATATCATCAGTTATTAGCTGACAGATATCATTGTGGTTTACAAGATGCTAGGCACACAGCATTAGCAACATTATTAATATTAAGAGATATTGGTTATAAAATAAAAAATAATGATAAATTACCATTTTGTGTGATTCATAAAAACACAGACTTCTCTTTTAATAAAAACAGATTTGTTTTTGTTGATACAAGTGCAACTGATGATAGAAAAATTATTGAACTTTGTCTTTCTTCAATTAAAATAAATAATCAAAATGAATTGATTGTTGATAAACAATATTTTACTCATTTTAACTTCTCAAATAAAATTCAAACAAAAGAAGAAGAGCCTAAAGAAATAATTAATACTCTCAACTCATTTTTATCTCAAGACCCTCAAACAGTAATTGTTCCAGTTTGTATTTTTTTTAATTAATATTAAATAAGTTTAAATAAATAACTTATCATTTAGATTAGTTTTAATTCTCCTAAAATCATTGAATTTCTTAGTTATAGGCAATTCCCTCTTTTGGCATTTACAGATTTTATGTCTTTATTTGTAAAACATTTTAATCCAAAAAAGAAATCTACTGGTTTATTATCTAAAGCAAAAAAACAATGTTCAAAATATTTACATGTTCTTCAATGCCCTTCTCATCCAAAAGAATTGGATAATTGTTGTTTTGTAACATCAACAAATATATTATTTTCTTTACAATATTTAACAACACATTTGAATTAATTTTATCTCATAGTTAATATTAGTTTTAATTTAAAACACTTTTTTAAAAATTATCCATATTAAATTTAAACTAAATATGAAAGTTTTTTATTCATTGAATCTTTAAAACAATTTCCTAAATATCTTTTAAAAAGATATGAATAATTAATAATAATTAAAAAAAATCTTTCATTCATTCAATTTTTTTTCTTATTTTTTTTAATTAATCTAAAATAGTTTTAATAAAAAGTACTTATTATATTATGTTTGGGTATTAATTATCTTTTAATTTCTATTTCTCTGTTAGTTTTTTCATAATAACATTAAATATGAAATATTAAAATTTAGTTATTTTAACTAAAAAAAATTTAAAAAGAACTCTGAAAAAATTTTAAATTATCAATTACAAATAATGGCTAAATTAAATTCATTAATTTATTCATGTTTACCAACTGGAATCATTCAAGCTAATTGCTGTATTCTTGGAAATCCTGAAACAGGAAATTATATTGTAACAGATGTTGGAGGAGATGCTGATCGTGTTATTTCAAGGGCAAAATCAATTGGATTAAAGAAATGCATTGGTGTTTATTTCACTCATGGACACTTTGACCATGTCTCAGGAGCAAAAAAAATTAAAGAATTAACTGGAGCACCATTATGTTTACATGAAAAAGATATTGAATTATATAATAATTTACCAATGCAATGTGATTATTTTGGTGTCCCTGAAGTTAGTAATTTACCACCAATTGATATAATACTTAAAGGTGGAGATGAAATTAATCTTGATGGACATAAGGGTGTTGTATTACATACACCAGGACATTCTCCTGGGTCTTGTTCATTTTATTTTAAAGATGAAGAGATAGTAATTAATGGAGATACTCTTTTTGCTGGGTCATATGGAAGAACTGATTTGTGGGGAAGTAGCTTCTCTCAATTAAAAGCATCAATTAAAAATGTATTATTTTCACTACCAATGAATACTATCGTTGTTACTGGACATGGGTCAAACACTACAATAAGAGAAGCAAAAAAATCTAATATGATCTGTTTTGCTTAATTGATAATTACTTTTTTTTAATTTACTAATAAGTATAGTAAATTTATAATAAAAATAATAATATTTTAACTGATTTAATAAAATCAATTAATAACGTGTTTTAAATTTTATTTTTTGTTTCTTTCCTTTTTCTTGAGAATTTCCCTGAGCTGCATTTAAATTTGGCATTGCGTTAGACATTTGAACAACAAGATAAATTGTATACCCAATGACTAATATGTATAAGTACATTGCAAAGAATGAGAAAGAACTTAAAAACTGAATGATTGATGAGAAATAAAGGATATCATGGACATAATCCATCAATCCTTCTGCTGATAAGTCTGAACCACAATCAATCAGTTCTCCATTTTCATACAATGGTCTACTTATGGAGAATGTATAAATTAATGGAATACATTGAAATAATGCATTGATAACAAATACAAAATATGCTGTTCCTGTTAATGTTCCTTTAAGGAATCGATAAAACACAAAGAAGAACTATGTTATAAGTTATTTTTTTTACGATAAATAAAGTTATATTACTAAAGACAAACAATAGAAAGAAAAACAAAAGCAAATGAAATCAGTAATTTTTGTTTATTTCTAACTACAGTTTTCTTCTGAGACTGGTTTGCCATTAAATTTTTTAGTTTCTGTTTTTCTTTTTTTTTTTTATCATTTTATTAAAAAAGAACTCATTAAAATTAGTTCATAATGGTTTGGTTTTAGTACCTCTTTTTTCAATACCTCTTTTGTTATACAATTAATGTTTTAGTTATTTTATTCATTCTTTAAAACATTAATTGGAAAAGAAGTTGTTGTAGAATTAAAAAATGATGTAATAATAACAGGAACATTGATTGCTGTAGATCAATTGTTGAATATTAAGCTGAGTAATTTAAAATGTGATGCGACATTATTCCCTCAAATAGTTTGGTAAATTATTATTTTAATTTTTAGCTTAATTAATATTGAGTATATAGCAAACAATGACTGACTGTTTTATACGAGGAAATACTATAAGGTATGTTAGTATGGCAGAAAATAATATTGATGTTCAATTGCTTCATGACGCTACTCTCTTAGAATTAAATGAAATTAAAAGTAAACAATAACTTATTTTTTTTAATGAATTCATTATTTTATTTTTCTATTAACAATTGTGATTGGTTCACTCTTGAGCATGAATAGTAGAAACCTTTTCTATTAATACTTCTTAATTTGTTTTAATTATTTTAATTTACTCTTATTAATAATTTATTTTAAACTAGAACTTTATATCATCTTTCCCTTTTCATCAAAAATTGTTCTTGAATTTGGAAATATAATACCTTCTTATTCATATAGTTCCTATTTAATAATTACTTTCTTCATAATAAAAAGCTCTAATAATTTATTTATTGAATTAATAATGTTATTGTTTCAAAAAAATTAAATAATGTTCTAAATAGTTATTGAAGAAATATGTATGTTTTTATGTTATTCAACAATTTTAAATAGAGTGTATGGAAAGTACTATTACAGAGAAGTTAATTGTTTATTTTCTAATACAAAATTAAACTTATCTTTTTAATTGTTTAACCTCACAAAAAAATAACTTTATCAATTTCAATCAATTCTACATTCACTTTTTTTGTTAGTCAGTAGATAAACTAAATTCAAAATGTTTTGAATCATTTATTTTCAGACGAAATAATGTAAATTAATTTTAATAAATGTTTTTTAATTTTAGTAGACAAAAATAAACTATAAAATAGAATTAACAAAAAGAAAGGAAAAATTAATTAAAAAATCTTAGAAAAAGAAAACGATTGGTACAGAAATGACTACATCAACTTTTCATTCTTATAAAACAAATATTGATATATTAATAACTTCTATTTGTTTAGTTGGATCATTTCTTTCTGTTGGTTTTTTTACTGAATATTTGTTTGTTTATTTTTTGTTTTATAATAAATAATATAAAAGAAATCAGTACACTCATTCATTAGAACAAAACACCAATTTGGCAAAGACAAAATTTTATTTACTGCCACTAGTGGGTTAGTATTTCTTCAGGCATGTTTCAGTACACTTGGAGCATATATCCTCATTAAAATAACAAAACAACACTTTGATATAAAAAATGTTCCATATAAAAGATTTATTATTCAAAGTCAAACGTATTGTGGTGCAATGTTCTTTTCAAATAAATCACTGTTATATATCGATTATCCAACTCAAATTATTACAAAATTTTGTAAACCAATTACTGTAATGTTATTTAGTATTTTTTACACTAAAAAATATGAAATAAGACAGGTTATATTCAGCATTATTACATTTAGTGGAATAGCAATGTTTATGTATGATAAATTTGCTAAATTAGACACTTCTAAATATTCAGACTTTTCATTCATATTTGGATTAATACTAATTGTTATAT